TCTCTTTAGGCAGCAGTTCTCAACCTGTGGGTCGCGACCCCTTTGGGGTTGACTGTCCCTTTCACAGGGGTCGCCGGGTACTCGTATGTGGGCGTATCTGCATGTGGGCCTGGAGACGGATAGAGGAGCGGTGTCTCGGTTCCTAAGACCATCGAAAATATGTGTTTTCCGATGGTCTTAGGCAACCCCTGTGAAAAGTTGAGAACCGCTGCTTTAGAGTAAATGCGAGTTTATCTTGTGCTTTATAAGAAACAGCAGTCGACAGTGACCTTCGGAATGAACTCTAATAGGTAACGTTGTATGTTGCTTTTATCAAGGAGCAGGATAACGGATCTATGATTAGGCCACCGGCAACAGAAGGAAGGAACTGAAGCTGTGGATGGGTCCACCTCTGTTTAGGCTGCCACCACCCTCCCCCTTTCTACCACTGCCAGCCTGCCGTCAATCACATGAGCAGTAGGTAGCATGAAGCATCCCTTCTTGGTCTGATACGTTATATAGAAGGGGCAACTAGCCCCTGAGTCTGAGCCACCCTGACCTAAATGACGCCTCACTCTTAGCTAGCAGCCTGGCATCACATACCAACCCGTCCCTGAATCGCTGCTCGCTGTAAGAGCTGCACGCGCTCTCTGTTGTCCCTCGGTCCCATTGCTGACTTTGTACGGCTCATTTGCAGAGACTGCAAGTCCCTGCTTATCACTCTTGCTGACCTCTGAGTCCCTGTGACACTTTGTCATCTTTTCTAGCTGAGGTTTCACAAACAAGAAGACAGCCAAACACCCAACATCCTGGCTCTTCCTGCCACCATCTAGGGTGGTCCCCTTTGCCTTCACTGAGGTTTTGTGTCACCGTGATATGGCAAACAGGGGCATTTAGTGGGGAGACCTGCACCCCCATCAGAGTGGGACTAACACTGGTACAGGAGAAAGGGGAGGAGAAAGGCATTGGTGGAAACATAACTCCACCCCTAACAATAACCTAGAACATATGACTTTCTACCAGGAGAGCCTGGGAAACTCTGGGCACGTGAGGGGTAGTCAAGAAAGGTCAGCGCCCCTTTGTACCTTTTATCAGCAGTGTTCCCCTAAATACTTTCCCATCTGCTAATCTCATAAAAGTAAAACTTCAAACAGCATTTTCTATTTGAATCAATACCTCAGGACAACAGCCACTTTGCTTCTTTCAAAGTGTTTAGCTTTGACTCAATTTTCAGCAGCTATGGATTCTTGAATCCGTAATGACCTTGACCTCAGAGGTCCTTAGGTCTTCTGTCTGAGTTGTGTTTGAAAGACCAATTCAGTAATATAAAGATGATTTGTTAAAGTTGATCTATCTTTTCTCTTGTGATAAAACATGTTTTCCTGGCACTTGAGAGTATGAGAAGCACTATGCTGTTAGCTAATGATAGCATTTTATGAGCCTGCAAATTGAGAGTAACACTAAATTTCACAGAACATTTTGGCATAGATTTTCATTAAGTGACACAACTCCATTTTCTCCCAAAACTAATGAGGATTACAAATGAATCTTGGTTTTGTAATGTAATTATGACAACCAAGATATGACAGAATGGCATTCCTTTGTTTGTTCTATTCTGAAAACATTTCAAAATGATGTAAGTAGAGCAGTATGTGTGTCCAGAATGATTTTATATGCTTCCTAGGTGTAAAATCTATTTTAGTCAAATTATATTTATCATAGTTTCTAACTAACTGTGATCCTTTTCCACATGTGTTTGTGAACAGCATGACTCCATTTTCTCTGTAGCGATTTCTTAGAAGACTATCGCTTAAATTAGGAATACTCCATTGATTCAGCATTTCGTTCTCATCAGTGGAGACTTGATTCCAGCAGGTACCCTGTGGTCCAGCTGTACGGGGAACTACATCAACATCTTTATCTGAAGACGGTGGTCTTCTGCTTAGTCAGGACCTTACGACTTCCTCACATTCAAATAATGCCAGGAAACACAGTGTATTATAAAAATCTGCATTGTAGTCATTTTTAAATGCTAGGTTTATTACAGCCACGTCTGTATCTTATTTCAAAGCAAAGTGTGAAGAGATATGTGACACTATATTCCCTTGGCCTCAGCAAGTTTAAACGCCTAACTTGTAGTGACTTGCACCGATCAACACATGCTGTTTTTTTTTGCCAGAAGAACAATTATACTGCTTTTTGATAGGATATGTTCTGTGAGCTAAGCCCATTAGGTTAATCGTAAAAGATTGTGGGGTGGGAACTTGCTCTATTGCTTAAGAAATGCCTATTTAATATATTTTTTTTAGCGGGGCAAAGAAGTTTCTTAAAATGCAAGATAATTCTAACTCTTCCCTATGATATTGGGTTGTCAGAAAGGTCATGATGCATTTTTGCAACGAAAAACATAGAAAAAATATGTCATGACTTTTCCGACAACTCAATATATGACTCTATATTGAACCTGTATCCACACTTAGATTTTAAGGTCTTATTCTTCTAGTGTCTTAATTAACATAAGATTGATTTAGCTTCTTAAAGCTCCTTAGGATCAACAGTTAAAATATAAGTTAATTCTTTTAAGGGAGTGTCATTTCCTACCTGATAGTAAAAAAATAATCTTATTAAAATATTTCCTTCTAGTCTTTTTCTTTAACTTGCATATTTTGGCACATTTAAAATCAAAATGAATCAACAATCTAAATATAAATGCTAACAGATATAACTCTTAAAAGAAACTATGGGGAATTCTTCATGACCTTTCATTTGACCATTGATTCCTATACGTGATATCAAAGCCCGTTTGGCTACAGCTCTGCTTTAGCCTTTACCTTCCATCTGCATGGGGCGCGAAGGTCGATCACTGGTGTAAACCCAAGTTCCCGTCACATCTTTTCGGAGTGTGCACCCGTCCCTGGGCATGTGGGCGCCCCTCCAGATTTCCTGTACGTGGAAGCCCTTTAAGCCCTTTTATCCCTGCATGAATCTCCTCGCCGGGCTCGTCCGTCCCATGCTTTGGGTCGGCCTGCTCTCCCTTGCTCCAGGAACTAAGGGTGGTGCGTGTTTTAACTGCTCTCTGCAGCTGTTGCTGGGGAAGTTGCTGCAGCTCCAGAGGGCAGTGAAACAAAGGTCAGCCTCTCCACTGGACTTGCGGGGATCTCCAGTCTGATCAAATGTGTAAAAACAATTTTTGGAGGACAAGATTCATATTGTTCTCTTCCCCTAAACCCTCCCCATACCTCAGAAACATGGTCAATGGCTGAGGCCAATCTGGGCCATGGACAACGGAAGGTGGGCTAATTTACCAAAATTCTTCATCAGACACTCCCCTGGTTATCTAAGTTTTTGGTTAGATTCTAGACATCTGAAAAAGTTTATTCTGTTAGTTTTTGCCAGTTTAATGGTTGCTCTAGTAGAGGGACTAATTTTTGGAACTCTCTGCTGTGCTAGTTCTGTGACATCACACACAAGGATGGTTTAACAGCTATTACGCCAAAGGAGTCAAATAACAACTGTAAAATATCTAGAATAAAATTAAAATCAACTTGTTACAAGTCATAACCAATGAATGTTTTTCATAAAAGGACAGAGAGAAAATTAAGAAATATAAATATTTTGAAACAAAATTACAAATAATTAAGCATTCAACTAAAAATTTTGTAATACAATAAAACAAATCATAGGAAAGGGGATTATAAAGATTACACAAACATTAATTAAAAAAAATAGCATGGAATCTGAAAAATATACCAAAAATTAAGTTATAGTAAAAGGAAATAATAAAATAGATTCATGAAAAGCTAATTAACTCAAGAAAGTAAAGGAAACTTTTACAAAATTAGAAATGCAAATGAATAAATGATGACTGGTACAGAGATAATTAAGGAATGATAAAGTTGTTACCACACTTATAAAAACATATTTGAAAACTTACATGATATGAGTGATTTTTTAGGAAATTATTAATTACTAAAAAATGACACTGAAAGAAATGCAACCAAATAATTCACATGTAAAATTTTGATGAATAATTCTTCTAACAACTTACCCATCTCAAAAAAAGTACTAATTATAGAAGGAATCACAGACAATTATCCTTTAATCGGGACAGACTACACCAATTCTACATCTACAATTGCACAATTTAATGAAAATAAGAAAGCCACTATAGATATAAAACCAGCATAATATTGATTTCCTAATGCAATAGTGGATTACAAAATAATGTCAGCTACATCCCAATCCACTTTGACTATAAGTGCAAAAATATGAACTAAATCACAGAAAACAGATTCCAGTTGTACGGGGCAAAATCAATATGCCATTAAATAGCATTCAAAGGAGTTTCCTACTCATGATTAAATATGCCAATAGGCAAACAATATGAGCACTGTGACAAATTCCAGAGAAACATAAATAGTCTCTGATACAGTTCAGTTGTGATTATTAAAACACTTTTAAAAAGAACAATATATTGACATATAGATATATAGATATGTGTATTTGTATTTAGAGTATGTTATAATCAATCTATTGGGTTGTTGGAAAAGTCATGACATACTTTTTTCTGTTTTTCGTTGCAAAAATGCATCATGACTTTTCCGACAACCCAATATTCTCTTTAAAAGTTTCATTCAAATAATAATCAATACAATTCATCATTAATTACCTGAAAAACTTCAAGAGCAATAGAATTAATTACACATAAGTGGATACATATTTAAATCAAATATATTTATAGGTTGCTTGTCTGTTATATAATTTTACATATTTTGATAAAAGCTTTTAATAAAATAATCGATTTATTCTTATATACAGATGATAGAAATCATGGGAATTTATTATGTCAGTTGGTTAAAACTTAATCTACATTACTCAGTAGGCTACTTATATACATGTTACAATGAAAACAGAACTTAGAAGTATACTTATAAATATGCAGATAGATCTAGCTATGCATATTTCTCTGAGAAAATTCTTAAAAAAGTTTCTATCAAGCATGTAAATATGAAAAATCATACCTTGCCTTGGAAAGTTTCAATAATGTAGAGATGTGAATTTGATTGAAGTTCCTATGTAAATTTAATGCAGCTGTAACAAAACATACCCATAGTTATTTGTTTTGTTTTATGGAATTCCCTAAGTTGGTTCTGAATTTCATAAGAAAACAATATTAAACATGCAAAAATACTAGAAAATACCTTTAAAGAAAATATAGTAAAAAGTGGGGCCCGGTTTTATGAAAATGTATTATAAGCTACAGTAAAATAAACTGTTCAGTATTGGAATGTAAAGAAACTAGTAGGATGGTAAGGTCTAGATATAGATCAAAATGCATATGCAAATTCAAGGTTATGAAGGTGGCGCTACTTTCCAGAGACAAATGATTCTTTGACAAATTAACATAGTCATTAAAATAATTCCCAGATGTACCACAACTTAACATACAGAGAAAAACTTTGTGAGTACTAGGAAAAGTATAACCTTTATTTTTATTTTTTGCTTTACTTAATTTTATATTTATAATCTGTAGTAGGCAATGTTTTATAGGACATCACAACATCATTCAAGAAATTATTGATAACTACTAGAGAAGGCTAAAAATGTCCACGCAAAAAATCAAGTTGAAAAAAATAATTCCAAGATATAAAAAAAGTAGTTAGCATCATTTATGAGAAAAGAACAATAAAACAACAAAATGGACAATAGGCATGGCATACACACACACAAAAAGATTATAAATGAACAGTAAATATATAAAAAGAGGTAGCCTGATTCCTAAGGCATGCAGCCCAAAATAAGAATGGGAAGCCATTTTTCAGCTATTAAAGAAGATGTTTTATAATGCCCACAATGGAGTCCTCTCTCATAATATCCTAGTGATCAGTTTCTTCATTATTCATGGCCATAGAATTTTAAAAGTAGACGGAGAATTACAAATATTCAATTAATCTCATTTTTTAAAATAGGGCTCTGACCCTAATAAACTAAAATATTGTTCCTAAGTCACACAGCTAAATAGCAGGTCTTGGATCAGAAATGTACGTATGGATGAATGTGCGCTTTCCTTCTAGGTTACTGTGAGTCAAGGAAGATAACACGCTTTACTTGAGTCTCACTCTGTTTGAAAATGTCTGGGTAATGACTGAGTGTCATCCGAGTAAGAATAAGAAATACTGACAAATCAGGAAGAGAGCTTACAATCCATTATTTACAAATTAATGATCTCATTATTGATTAGAAAAACTTGGTTCCTTTAAATAAAAATTCTAAAAACCCAATCACTGAGCATTTTATATAAAATACATATACAGAAGAATTTTTAGAAGCAGATATTTAGAAGCACATATTTAGAAGCAGATCTTATGGAAGTCCTAATTTAATTAGGGAAACCATCCACAGCTACAATTATTAGCTTTTGTATTGACTAAAAGGGCTGAGAAAGGTAGGAAAAAGCCTCTGATTTCAGGATCATACATTTTAATCAACTAATCAATTATGTTTTGCAAGAAACACAACTGAAGGCTTTGCTCATCTATGAACCTCACAAGCATAGAGTGAACGGATGGACAGGGTATTAAAACTCCTCTAGCCACAGTTAGAGCGCAGTCTGATGCACAGGGCAGAATATCCTGCAATAAAGGAATGCATTTTGTTTATTTTTGTTTCATTTATTTAACAGGGTTTAATTTCATAATACCAGGACAATCACATACCCTGGTGATTCATGAAGAAAATGATTGTTTTGGCTTTATTTTTTCTCTATTTAAAAAATTTAATTTTCTTATAAGCACCTTTACTGCTAGTTTTTTCAAAGCTGGGTTAACTCTAATTGTCTGATCATCTGTGTCTTATTGTGCAGGGTTCTATTAATCGGAGAGGATAAAAAGATTCAACTGACAGGAGGAGGAATACTACATTATTCATTAGTGTAAAATTCCTTCCTTCTTAGCAAAAGAGGGTCAATGTAATTTAGAGAATATTTGATAAAATATTTCAGAGTTTGTCACATCACGAATTCAATTAACTAGTGAAGGTTAATTTCCTAGAATGAGATTTTAAAAATCAATGCCTCCTCATATCATAGTGCACAAAACAGTAATTTAGCTATATTGCCACAAATATTAGACACAGATATTAGTTTATACTAACACTCATTTTGTTAGAAGGAAACTCATAATTTTTGAATAAATGATTTCTTCACTGTCCTCAAATGAACAGTTTCAGCCTTGCCTTTGAATCACAAAAATGTGTTTCTACTCATTGGTCTAATTTTCAAATTACAGTTAGGAATATTATATGGAGGGGTAGTTTAGTTTTTTTTTTAAGGATATTTGTAAAAGAAACATGTTTGCGTGTTGGAAAATATGAATTTTCCCTTTTTAAAATTTAAATGAGATCAAATTAGTAACAAATGATTTTATCCATGATTTAAAACTTCACACACATTGAATCATTAAGCAGGATACAGTAGTGAGGAATTAACGATTGTTGCTCTGTTAGCCCTAATGCATACAGCAGTCGTATAGAGAGTTAAATTATTCCACATGCAACCGTGAACGCTAGTGAGATATGCATACAGAACACAGAAGGGAAACACACATACACATGAATATCACATGTACATCCTTGTTCCCCAGTCTGCAAATACCAGAGGTCACTGAACCAACACAAAACCCTAATTAAATTTTATAACAAATCAAGCATCACCAGAACCAAGATGACTAGCTCAGCCAACAGGGGGTTTCCTTGAAATATTCCATTTAATTCCCGAGCTTGGTAACTCCTTTAACATCATCTGCTGGATCGCCTTGGACAGTAATTGCCAACTGTCTGGAGTTTGCATAAATCTCATAACTCAGCCTCTACTTGGGGGTCCCTGGCTGGCATATGGGGCAACAGGCCCTCCTGGTTGGTCATTCAAATGTACTGAAGCCTGGGACTGTACTTGAGTCTACCTAGCCAGGCGGTTCTGCCTGTTAGTAACGTAACCTGCTGCTGTAATATTCTAGTTCTCCTTTCTACCAACCCCGCCGCTTGTGGGTCACAGGGAGATGAAATCTGCACTCAATGTCATGATTTTTTTTTAACCCAGTCTTGAATGTCATGATGATATCTTTAGATAACCTATCTAGTAACTTAGAGAACAAAGAAAAATCGGTGATATGGTACACTTCAAACATTTACCAAACTTGGCCATATGCTGGTATGTAAATCAAGTGTCAAGAACTGCAAATATTTGAAATCATACAGTGTATTTTCTGACCACAGTGGAACTGAACTGAGAACCAATTAAAGAAAGATAAATAGAAAATCCTCAATTTTTTTTCTTGAAAATTAAATAACATTTTAAATATCAAATAAGGGCTCAAATTTAAAATACATTTGGATTTGACAACAAAAACACAACGTTTGTGAGGGACAGTTAAAGTGGCATGTGAAAGATACAAATAGCTCTGAATGCATTCTTATAAGGAAGAAAGCTTGAAATGCAATTGTTGTTCTAGTTATCAATGTCTATATAGAAAATCACCCCAAACATAAAGGCTTATGATAAAAAAAAAAGCATGATTCTCACAAAGTATCAGTTAGGGATTTCAGATGGCTCAGCTGTGAGATACGTAAGCTTCATTTGCCATCAGCTGGGGTCACTCAGTAGGACCCATCTAGGGGCTGGTCCGGTGTTGAAGGTCTAAGATACCTCCAGTCACTTACCTACTGACTTGGTGCAGATAACTGTAGGGAAGCCCGGTCAAGGTCAGCGTAGCTCAGCAGGACCCCTGAGATAAGCTGTAGCCTCGTAGTAATAATAAACTGTTATTGTTTGAGGGCCTCGCTTCAGAATTATTGACAAGCAGCATTGTCGGAACATTAGTTATTCAGTTAAAATGCATTAAGAGGAAATTTATACCAGTGATGGAGAGTTTGAAAACAGATTCGAGATGCATACTTCAATTAAAATAAAATTGCTGTCCAAGATAGGGTAACCCCATTTCTTCCTACGCCTCTCGTTTACAACTAAGATCACTGGTCATAATGCAGCCAACAAGCGTAGGAATATCCTAAAAAGGCGGCGAGAAGCAGAACTGCCGAGGGAGTCCGGGAATGGAGGACTGACGCAGCAGTGAGTTCCCTGGTTTTTTTTCTGCCTCTCATATATTCTATTCAGGGCATTGGAGAAGCCAGCAAAGTGGAACCACCACTAGATACATTACAAAGAACCCCAAGGAGAGCCCGCTCTCTAGACAAAGGGTTGGGAAAAGTTGGCCCCACAGAACAAAACAATTTTGACAATACTTGACTTCCTCCAGCCAAACAGGAATTAAAAATTGTTTGTCCCTTGCCCTAAGGTGTAAGCAGATCTAAGAAGGGTGCTGAACTCACACCTGCACTTGAACCTGCACATATGTTTAGATATAACTAAACAAATGACTGGCTGATAAGAAGGAAGATTCAGTAGGATTCAGAGTCTCATAGTACAGTATCAGTGAAACCTCTTGTCATGGCAAGAACAGTCACAACTCGAATGAGGAAAGACAATCAGACAGACTCTAACGCTGAGAAGACTCAGATGTTAGAACCATCGGACAAGGATTTTAAACATTAATCATATAAATGCCTCAGTGAGCAATTACAGATATTCTTGAAACAGATGAAAAATGGAAAACCCCGGCAACTATATAGAAGATATAAAAAAGAGCCAAGAGAACATTAATTATAGAACTGAAAAATACAATAACCGTAATAAAAGTTTCACTGGATTGACTCAATATGAGATTGGAAATGAGAAAGGAAAGAATCAGTGAACTGGAGCGCAGCCCAGTCTGAATAACCAGGACACAATACTGAAAATAAAATATAATTAGACACATGACAGAAATCAGGTAGTGGTTCAGTGTTTTCAGAGTAACGTACAGAATGGTGAATGAAGACTCTGTAATCTGAATAAAGCCCGAAGATCTAAGTGTTAGGTTCACTAATGAATATCATAGGTGACTTTGGATACAGAGAAAAATATTTGTGGTGGTTACTTTGTGTTACTGATGGTGCCGTTGGTGGTGATTTAGTTGGTCTCTGTGTGGGTATTTCCT